AAATCCTAGGCCCTGGCATCTTGAAAACACACTGGACACATTTGCAGTCCATGCTTCAAATTCCAGTAAGATGGAGAAATGGAGAAAGGATTGTGGTGTGACCACGCCCTGTTCGGGGAGTGCTTTCTCCCTGTTCTTGACTCCTCTCTGTTTCTTTCTGAGGGAGATATATGTCCAAGTATTTTTTAAAACGTGGTAGGGAAGGAGGCTGCTGAGATGGGAAAGGGTTCATTCAAACATGCCTGGGTCTTGGATAACTATAAACTGATCATGAGTTAGATATCATCATTGCTATCATCCCTGTAGAAACTTGAGATCAGCAAATATCATATGATCATCATTGATGCCCCAATACATAAGCACTTTATTGAAAACATAATTACAGACACCTCTCAAGCTAACTGCGCTGTCTTGATTGTTGCAGCTGGTATTTATAAATTTGAATCTGGCATCTCTAAGAATGGGCTGACCTGTGAGCATGCCCTTCTGGCTTGCTCACTAGATATAAAACAATTAATCGTTGATGTTAAGATGGGTTTCATTGGGTCATTCTACAGCCAGAAGACATCAGTAAGGAAGTCATCCCAATATTAACAAAATTGGCTATAAACTTCAAGGTAACAAAATTGATAAAGATAGAAGTAGTAGTTGTACCAATTTTTGGTTGACATGGTGACAGTATACTGGAGCCAAGTGTTAACATTTATTGATTCAGGGGATGAAAACTTACCTGTTAATATGGCAATGCCACCATAAACATGCTGCTTGAAGCTCTAGATTGCATCTTGTCACCAACTTGTCCAATTTGCGGACCCTTGCATCTGTCTCTCCAGAATGCCTACAGAATTGATGGTATGAGTATAGTTCTTTTGTGCCAAGTAAAGGTTGGTGTTTTCAGACTCAGCATGATGGTCATCTTTGCTCCAGCCAATGTTACAACTCAAGTAAAATTTGTTGAAATGTACCTTGGAGCTTGAGTAAAGCTCTTCCTGAAGACAACGTGGGCTTCAGGGTCAAGAACATGCTATCAAAGATGTTCATAATGGTTGGGACCAGCAAGTGGTGTGGCAGTTAAGGGCACTGGGTTCCCACATGGCCAACTATGGTTCAAGTCCTGGACCTGGTGGCTTGTTTTCTCACTTTCCCTGCTCTCTCTCACTCTGTCCCTCTCTGGTCATTTTTAAAATAAATAAATAAATAAAGTTAAATAAAATAATTCTTTTTAAAAAATGTTCATAATGGCAATGTTGCTGGTGACAGCCAAAATGACCCACAATAGAAACAGCTGGCTTCACTACTTAAGTGATTATCCTGGACTAGCTAGGCCAAATCAGCGCTGGCTATGGCCCTATGCTAGTTTGTCATACAGTTCACATTGCTTGGAAGTTTGCTGAGCTAAAGGAAAAGATTAATTGTCATTCTGGTAAGAAAGTGGAAGATGTCCCCTATTGCAATTTTTATTGTTATGGTTTCTTTACATTTTGGTTCTTGAAGTCTCTCTTGAGAGTGATCATTAGCCAAGGTAGCCACTTTCTAGGAGAGCTCTGACCAGGGTGGAGGTGACAAATAAGTTTGGGTGTATCAACCACGTGACACAACCAGGAAGTGAAACCAAAATGCATAATGAAATACGGTAGTAAAATATTGTGCTGTCAGAAAAGTCATGGCACCTTTTTGCATAGAAAAACATGGAAACGCTCGTCATGACTTTTCTGATGACCTTGACGTTCTCTGATACTTTGAACGAACTGTAACAAAAATTTTGCAGTCTCTCTTTGGAAAAAACTGTGACTTATAAAGATTTACTGAGAAACTAAAGGAGATCTAAATAAATAAATGACAAAATATACCATATATATGGATTGGAAATCATATTTGTAGAAGTAAATTACCCTCAAGTCAGTCTATAGATTCATTGTAACCTGAATGAAAATTCCAAGCTTCGTTTTTGTAGAACTGAAAAAGCTGATTCTAAGATTAACATGAACATGCAAATGGCCAAGAATAGCCAAGACTTTCTTGAAGAAGAATGAGATAATAGGAATTGATATATAACATATTGAGACTTCTTTTAATGCTATAGTCATTAAACAATGTGGTAATTGATATAGAGGTAAACATAGATTAATGAAACAGAATAGAACATCCAAAACTAGACTCACTCATACTTAGACACTAGACACTGGATTTATGACAAAGGTATCATGAAAGAGCGATTTTCAATGAAAGGTGCTGGGCAAAAGCATTAAACTGGATCCCTAACTCACACCATACACAAAAATTCATTCACATTGGCTTACAAATCTAAAAGTGAAAGATCAGAAATATTTTAGGAAGAAAAAAATAAGATAATTTCTTAATCTCAGAGTAGGGAAAAAAATAATACAAAAAGCACTAACCATGCAGGATTTTTAAAATAAATTTCACTATGTTAAAATTACAAACTTATGTCCATCAAAAGATAACATAAAGGGACCAACAATTAGTATAATGGCTATGTCACTAGACTCCCATGTAGCCGACTGCAGTTCGAGTCCCAGACTCGGTGGCTTAAACTCATGCCAGGCGCATGTGCGTGCCCAGATCCCGAGAGAAGAATGGTGGAGAAGGGATTGTGGCGTGGCCATCCTCCCTGGGGGGTGATTTCTCGCTTTCTGTCTCTCTGCCTCTCTCTGTCTTTCTGGCGAGTGAACGCACCCTATAGCAAAAACCTCTCCAAAAAAATAAAAAATAAAAAAAATAAAAAGAATAAAACAATTATCCACAGAATGGGAGAAGATGTTTGTAACACATATGGAAAAGGGCTCAACAAGATTATATAGAGTACCCCTTTTAATCAATAAGAGGAAAACAGATTATCTGTTAGAAAAATTGGCTAAAAAACTTGGATAAGGTACTTCACAAAAGAGGAAATCCAAAGTGCCACTACCATTAAAAAAAGATGTTTGAGCCAGCCGGGTGGTGTGGAGGTTAAAGTGGCTGGATCCCACATTGCTGACTGCAATGGTTCAAGTCCCGGACCTAGTGGCTTGAAAAACAGGCCAGACACTAGTGCATATGTGCCCAGAATCCTAAGAGGAGAATGGAGGAGAAGGGACTGTGGCATGGCCATCTCCTTGGAGGGGGGAGGCGACTTCTTTCTCTTCTCTCTCTCTCTCGTGAGTGCACATGCCCTATAGCAAACTTAAAAAAAAAAAGTCAACCTCATTAATCAGAGAAATACAAAATAAAAACACGAGGCACTAATATGCAACTGCCAGAATGGTCAAAAAAGGTAAAAATAAATATCAAGTGTTTGTTTATGGAACAAATGGAACTCTCATTGGAATGAAAATGGAATATGGTGCAGCTGCTTTGAAAAACAAACATATATATACCAGTAATTCCATTCCTAGATATATGCCCAACGAAAATGAATATGTTTGTTCACCAAAAGATATTTACCAGAAAGATAATAGTAGACCTATTTGTAAGTACCCAAAATTAGAAATGACTCAAACATACATGATGGGGTATATCCATATAGTGGAATACTGTGCAATAATGGGAAGGAACAATCTACAGCTATACACAATGAATAGATGAATCTCACAACAATAATACTGAATGAAAGAAGCAGGAGGCTCAGACTCATAATACAGTAATAATGCACTGCTCAAGAAAAGTCAGATCTCACATAGTGACTGCAGTTTGACTAACTCAGCCTGAAATATGCTGGATACACATGTGAGAGCCCATATCTGATATACTGGAGAACTGTAAAAAAAGGGCTTATGGTGTGACCAGAGGCTGTGGAAAGTGCTCCTCTTTATTTTCTGTCTCTCTCATGTGTGCATGTTTTTACTCTATCATGAGTAACGAAAAAAGAAAGAAGCAAGACACAAAATAATATATACAATATATTTCCATTTACATACTTCACAAATGGGCAAAACTATATTCTTTTAGAATGTGTACATAAGTGGTAAAATTATGAAGAAATTATCATAAATGTCAGAGTGGTGGTTATCTTTAGTAGGGAGGGAGAGGATGTGATTAAAAAGGGATATACAGTGAGTCTTCTGGGTTGCTGGAAATGTTCTTAATCCAGATGATGGTTGCATTTTTGTATCAAAGGCATTTGGATTTTATGTACTTTATTATATATGTTCATGATTTTAAAAATTTTTTTAAAAGCAAAGAAAAGAGATCCAAGGACTAGATCCTGGGGCTGCCTTATATTTAGAGTATGTTTATAAAATCGACCTTCATTCAACATTCAGCAAGTACTTTTTCGAACACCTACTTTGTGCCAGGCCCTGTTCCAGCTACTGGTACTATAGCAGTGAATCAAACAGACAAACCTCCTGCTTTCATAGAACTTACATACTAGGGAAGCATAGAGAGAGTATTTTAAGAAGGATGGTGTGGTTAACCATGCAAAATGCTGCTTAAATGTCTAGTAAAATGAGGACATAAAAACTGGACTATTGGCTTTGAAAAGCCACTCACATGACTTGGATATTATCTAAGTAAAGAAGATCTTTACACTGTTCTTGTAAACTCCTGACGTTTGTATTTGCCAATTTAACTCTTGTAAATATCTAAAAGTATAAATCCCAACCAACTCCTACATTGGGTTCCCCATCCTAAATTGCATCACTATCCAGGCATTTACCCAAACCAGAAACTTGAATAATATCTTTTTTTCTCTCAGAATATTTTTTTTTATTAATAGCAAATTTGACTTTCAAGAATATGGAAGATTTACTGCTGAGTGAAGCTAGCCAGGCTATGAATGAGAGACATTGTATGTCCCCACTTGATATATACTGAGTGTCCGCACTCTATGATTGAATGGTATCTTTAATCCCTCTTTCTTTCTTCCTTACCCTATTGCAGTTGTAACCCATCACCAGTTTTACTAAGTGAATCTTAAATACAGGGAAGAAAAGGATGTGAGGCATTTATACCCACTTAGTCCATTAATATATTGCTTTTCCTGTGCTTTTTTTCTCCAGGGGTCAGAGTGGCAGTGTGCCTCAATTCAAGAAGGTAGTTTTCCAGGAATTTGCTGATGGTTCCTTTACTCAGCCCTTATACCGTGGAGAACTAAATGAACACCTGGGACTCTTGGGGCCATACATAAGAGCAGAAGTTGAAGACAATATCATGGTGAGTTAAGGACAATGGAATTCTAAGAAAATCAATTCTATATATTAATTTTGTTTCTGATGATAAAACATTTTCTCACATTAAAAACTAGAAAAATCAAGAGTTTAAAAAATAAAAATAATTCCATAATTATCATGTATGTTCTTATCATTTTCTTATGTGTTTTTCTCTCTATGTATTCAAAATATACTAGATATAATTCTACTTCTTGTTTATTGACTAAATATGCCATAAACTTTTCTTTTGTTATTAAAAACACTTCCTAAATATTTTTTTAAGAATTATCTTATTTAACTTTATTTATTTATTTTTAATTTGGCCAGAGAGGGACA